ATGGGTGCCATGTGGGAAAAAAACATTGACGTCTATTATAAAACGTTCTGATACATAGATTAAGACAGAGGGGTCAGCCTATTGTTATGTTGTCACAGCCTCTCTGTGCTACTCATAGCTTCTGACCAGTGAGGGAGCCCCTCTGTACATCTCACCCACCATTGTCATCTTCCTTCTTCACCAGTAATGGTTTTGATGGTAACACTTGGCAGGAGAAGGCAGCTGTAGTGCCTTATGGACTCAGCCCCTGGGACTGAGTATTAGGATCTCTTTCAAGTTCCCAAGTGATCCTACTGTGTAGCCATGATTCTCACTGTGTAGTTGAGAATTACTGGAGTGAAAAAGCACTTGGTCTTCACCACCAAACCATACAAACACTGCTTAAATCTTCCAGCACCTGTTTTGGCTCATCTAATAATCTGTGTTCTGGAAGACAAATCTGAAATAATTGCTTTCATTTTCAGTAATTGATCCATAAAGTTTGGAGGGAGAACTTTATATCCTTTGAATAAGATCAAGTCAATAGGAGATCAGGGGAAAGGGACAAAGCAGGCTTAAATTTTATTTCTTAGATTTTTTTTTTAATTTGGGAAGAGAAATAAACCATGGAGCGTTGCTTTTCACAAGGAAAAATGTTAAAGTTACTGTGTACCATTATTGTCTACTGAAATCAGAAGCAATTCAGTGAAGTTATATCCTGGAATACATGACTGTCTTCTCAAGCCCACTTCTCCCTATCACAGAATTTTGAGATAATTTAAAGGGACTGAGTTTATTTGTATCACCCCTCTTTCTAAAATAGCATGATGCCATACAATAAGATTATATCCAGGGAGACCACATGATCTGGTAGAATGCAGAGTATGAATCCCTGATCCAACACTTACCAGCTGTGGGCATTCAGCTTAAGAAAGTTGACCTCTCTAAGTCTAGTTTTTATCATCTATAAAATGGAGGCAATATATAACCTTTCTCAAAGGCTCTTGAAGGGTTTACTGATAATACATAGCAACTGACACTTAGTAAGCTGTCAGTAATTGTTAGCTATTACCATCTGGGAAAGTAATTTTTTTAAATCAAGTCTTGAGGATTAGCTCTAAATGAAAAATTATACCAATCCTGTATCGTAAATGCCAGGACACTAGAACAATACATGTAAAAACTATTTAAAGGAATTATCTAAGGAAGATTACAAACTAGCAATGTTTGGTGTTTGAATAAATACTTCTTAAATTTGGATATCTAAATTACAGTTAAAAAATAAGAATAGGGTTCATTAAATGGCCAACTTTGTGTGGTGAAATTTTGCTAAAAGCTCCCAGTTTTAGTACTGAGGTTTTTTTCTCTTCATGTGAGTTTATCAGGGAAGTGTTCCATTAATATTAAATAAATATCCAAATGTTTAACTTCCTAAATAGGATTAGTTGCTTATTTATAGTCCATTGAAAAATGCCAAATTTCTTTCTGAAACCCATGTCTCTACTAATTCATAGTTAAAGCTCTTCTTTGCAATAAGTTACTAAGCTGGGGCAGTGGCCTCTAAAGATCTATATATGAGATAATGATAATAATACCAAGCTTGCAGTGAAGTTTTGAAAACTAGATGAGATAACATAGATGAAAGGGCTCTGCAAATGATGAAGGTCTGTACAAATACTCCCTTTTGCAGCTGTGGCTGCCACAGCTGCTGACTAAAAGGAGTTTATCCCTGTTCACATGGGTGTCCATCCTCCTCAGAGACATAGTCATGATCCAGCACCATGTGATGAGATACAGAGAGTCCTCCTAGACTGAGAGGAGGAAGAGATGAGCGGAGTGACCAAGGAAGTGACATTGAGAAGAAGGCAGTATAGGGGTGGAGGGGTTGGCCTCACAGATGGGCAAGAGATGGATGAGAGGAAGGAAGGGGCCCCGCAGGCAAGTGGTCCAACAGAGTAGCACAGAGTGCTCATGAACAATGTGGAGTACAGAGTTTGTGGAGTACTTCATCTCTGAAGTAGAGTTTGTGCAGGGAAGCAAAGTGAGAGATAAAGCTAGAAAGGAAGGTGGGTACAGATGGAGAGGCAGTGCCTGTAACATCCAATAATTTTTCAAGGAGGCCAACTCTGTATCTATTCTTATTATCTACTGAATATTTATAGTACTTATATTCAAGGTTATCATATATCAGCCTCCAAACCTCATTTAAAAAGTCCCACAGATGTAGCTGAGGGTTCTTACACTTCTGCTCATTCTTTAGTAGACCAGAGGGAGAAAGACAAGTAGCAGGAAATGGGCCAAAAAGAGAGATGGAAACCCTGGCATTATGTTCAGAATGGAGGCCATCCAGCAGGCCAGAAGAGAAGGCAATAAAGCAGTGATGTAGGCTGCAGACAGGTCGGAGCAGAAACCAGGGAAAGGGAGGAAGACAAATGACTGTAACTACCAATTTGCAGGGCCATGAAACCTGACCTCTTCTGGATCTGCTTCCTGGTGAGTCCTCTGGCTCCAAAACCCTGGAAAGGAAAACTGATACCCATAAAAAACTGTGGCTGTGTAAATGCAGTGTGATAAATGCTTCATCTTGATTAAAGGCAGTGGTTTTTCTGACAAAGAAAAGCTATGACTGTTTGACTCTGCGAGAGATTATAATGCGTGGGAGTTTGAGAAAACTGCACGATACACGTTGCAAACAGACATGCTGAACATTAGGAACTGGGTGGGGAGAGGCAAATAAGACAGAGTTGTACCCACAAGGGGTAAGGAGGAGCAGGTGTCACATGTTACACCTCAAGCAGAGGAAATCAGGCTGGACCTGTTTTTCATGGGGACTGTGGTCTCCAACTGGTTGGCTGGATCACTGTAACTCAACCACAGGTATCCATTAATTTTCAGTAACGCCATGGTTAACACTCCTCTAGTTTCAGTCTGAACCCTAAGACCCTTTAACCGACTCCTTTCTGTCCTTACATGGACCATCATTTAACCTCAGTCTCAAGGGATGGAGCAGAATAACCGATAAGTGAATCCAGATCTAACTGTAAACAAAACGATCAATATTACTTACTAAATGAAATCCAAGTGTAACTGTCTTGATTAAATTGAATAAAGATTTTTTAAACACTGGTGAACCTTGTAAAATAGAAGTCAAATCTGCAAGTATACTAAAGCTACTCAACCAGAACAAAAGTTGAAATAAAAATGTTGTCATATCAAACCCAGCTCCGTACCTCCCAAAGCTCCCTCTTCATTCACTTGATCAAGCTCCTCCTTGAGGCTGTGAAACTCCCCCTTGGGTACAGGCTACGCTGAGCCCAAAAGATAATTTCAGGAAGGATTTACTGTTACAATGCTTAGGAGGATACCAATGTCACATCCGCTCGAGTGTCTGTGGAGAAGCAGGTGCAATAAATCCAAAGGTCCCATCCCTAGGTCACCCTGAAGGATAACAGGATGAGAGAGTGGCTACACGTCTCAGGAATGCCACACTTCTGTTCATGCTGGAGGAGGATCTGGATGGAGAAGTGTAAGGGGCAGCAACAAGGGAAGGGAGAGGGAGGGGGAAAGCTGGAGAGAGATTGAAAATATACACGAATGAGAGACAGAAAAGCAGACATGGCAGAATGCCCAGACATGAAGGCAGGTCAGGAGACAGTACGGAAGGGGAATAAGGAGAGATGACAGAAGCATGTAGGCTGCAGGCCTGTTGAAACAGAAACCAGGAATGAGGCAGGAGGAAGGAAGGGGAGGGCACAGTGATAAGAGAATCAGAGAAGCCTAACAGAAGTAGGATGGAGACAGAAAGCAAACATTTGCCCTGGAAAAAGAGTAAAGAGTAGATTTGTGAACAACCAAAGGCCATGATTTCTAACATCCTCAGAAAGAGGCAACGAAAAGCTGATCAGCTGAAAATGTTTGATCATGACTGATGCTTAGACAAGACCAGAAGCGAGGGCTCTAATTCCGGGCTACTGATTCTTGGAGGATTGTAAAGATTCAATAGCCTCTCTCTCTGCTCCCATAGCCTGCAATTTTTTCACCAGTGAATACTCTTTCCACGTCCTAAAAGGAGAATTTATATTCCTACGATGTTTCAAGGTCCATTTATAAAGTGCCTCCCAGAAGTTATCACTGTCCTTACACTGAGACATTGTGATATGTTACGTAAAGACATTTTACAGCTCAAGCAACACAACCCTCAGTAACAACAGCAGCCAGGCAACCCCACAATGTGATTAGCTACCAGAACTTGGGGACAAGAATTAAAATCACTCATTGAAATCTGAAAACTGTGGGTTTTAATAAACAAGTGCTTTATATATAAATAATTTAATACATCAAACTTTTTTTTTCAAATGAAAAAAGGTTCATAAACCACCAATGTTAACTGAGCTGAAATGAATCTGAGGCTAGAGTGGCAGTATGTATAAATAACAATGGTACAATTACTAAAACACTGTTTAAAACTTGGAGACTTTTAGAACTCAGTCAATACTTGAACCCTTTTCCATCGCTAAATCGAAATGCTTCATATTTCTAACATACCTTTCCACTGACAGATGTCTGCTTCACAGCACACAGTACACTAGACACCCCCGTATGCATGAGCTCACCTAGTCCCACAACCATCTACTGAAGTAGGTGTCATTATCCCAATTGTACAGGTGAGGAGACTGACGCTGGGGGTGGTTGAGATCACATGATTGGGAACCGGCAGTGCCAAGACATAGACTGAGGGCTCTGAGTGCAGGTCTGGAACTTCTTGTAAGATACCAGACTGCCTCCATTATTCATACCGCTGGCCACAGAGGAGTTGGCTATCGCCCAGAAAGTAGGGTGCTGGAATGTAAATATTATCTTCTAATTCATCTACAAGCATGTCAAGTATTTCATAATAAAAAATGTATAAGGAGTAAGGTAAGAGACTGAACTATGTTCCTCCCAAATCTATATGTTGCCCCAACCCTTCGTACCTCAGAATGTAACTTTATTTAGAGATGGGGCCTTTGAAGGGTGAGTAAGTGCTCACTTGGGCAGCACATATACGAAAACTGGAACAATACAGAGAAGATCATCATGGTCCCTCTGCAAGGATAACAGAAGCTTGAAGCATTCCATAGTTTTTGAAGCATAGTTTTTGAAGCATTCCAAAATTTTAAAAAAGGAACAGACTGACAGCTGTGGAGGGGAGGGGGGCTGTGAAGCTGGATGAAAGGGTGAAGGGAGTAAGATAAAAAACAAACCAATAGACACAGATAACAGTATGGTAATTACCAGAGGGGGAGAGGGTGGGGGAGATAGAAGAGGGTAAAGGGGGCATAAATTGGTGATGAAGTAGACTTGACTTGGGGCTGTGAACACACAGTACAATATATAGATGATGTATTACAGAAATGTACAACTGAAATCTATATAACTTTATTAACCAATGTCACAGCAATAAATTCAATTTCTAAAAAAGTAAGAAAAAAGAGGTGATTAAGTTTAAATGAGGCCAGTAGGGCAGATCATATTCTAGTCTGATTGGTGTTCTTAGAAGAATGAATTTGGACACACCAAGGGCACACAAGTGCATAGAGGGATGACCATGTGAAGAGGCGACAAGAGGGCAGCCATCTGCAAGTCAAGAAGAGAGGCCTTAGAGGAAGCAAACCCTGCCGGCAACTCAGTCTTGGATTTCCAGACTCCAAAATTGTGAGAAAATAAATGTCTATTGTTCGTGCCACCCAGTCTGGTGTTTTGTTTTGGTAGCATGGGCAGACTTAACACAAGTACCTATGATGTATCATGCACTGCCCTGAGTACTAAGGCAGGGTCCTTACTCTCAAGAGCTTTTGGTCTTGGAAAAGCCACTGAGAAGCAACCAGGCCATTAGCATGAGGCCTGGGAAGTGCTACAGAAGGGCAAGTGCAGAACACTATGAGGCACATGAGAAGACCTTTCAATCTGATATTTGGTGTGTACATGACAGAGGATGTCTGAGAAAACTATAAAGGAAGTGGTGGCTGAACTGAGATCTGAAAAGATCTCTCCAACACAGTGGGAAGAGCCTCCAGTTTCCACTGGCCAAATGTCTTTCCGTTCCTGATCCCAGTTCCCCCAAGTTCAGAGAACATTCCCCCGTACCAGTCAGCCCTTGCTCTGCTAGCATTAGTTTCTACCTTAAACACCAAACATATATATACTTTTTAGATGCTCTAGTCTTATGAAACTATTTAGATAAAATTTTTTAAAAACTTTAGATAAAAAGTTGTGTGCTGTACTAGTTTCTGATAGCAAGGACTGACACAACCTATGAGAAAGGGAGTAGTTTGAAACTATGGTGAATTTATTTCATGGAATATAGGCAAATATTAAAACTAAAGAAAATTTATTAAAATAAAATTAAAATAAATAAATAAATAAATAAATTAATTAATTAAAATAAAATTAAAATAAAGAAAGAAAGAAAATTTAATGGCATAGGAAAATTTTGTGATATAATATAAAACAATTAAAAGTTTGTTAATACAGATATACAATTTTAAAAGTTCAAAATATTTTGTTTATGTCAGACTTGTAGGATTGAATAGTTTTATTAGTTTAAAATTAAACTAATTAATTTAAAATTAGTTTAAAATTAATTCTTGTGTTTCCAAAGTTTTATCTAATGATAAACATATATATAATTTCTACAATGACATATACGTATATACGATATATCACAAGAAGAATATATTTTCTTAATGAGGGAAAATATTTTTCCAGAAGACTTGGAAAATTATCTGAATCTTTTAATAACACTAGAGTTCTCCCAGTTTTTAGAATGAAATCATCCACATTAGCTGTATCATATATTAAGATGTTATCCTTTAAAAAAAAACTATACTTGTACTGAGAAAATCTAGATGTGAGTTCTGGTTCTACCTCTGACTAACTCTGTTTCTTTAGTGGCGCTGACCTATACTTGGGGCCTCAGTTTCTTCGTGGGTAAAATGAACCATGCCTGTGATGGCCACCATAAGACTGGTGAGAGGGTTGAATGAGATGCTGTGACATTGTACCACAAACCAAAAAGACCTATTTTAAATAAGAACGAGCATGGTTATTTTTATTGACTTACATGGTACTCTTTCTGAACAGGTCAGTGTTAGCTAGAGATGGAAATAGGTTTTGAAAAGCCTGTAATGGTAACTGGTCACCAACCTATTTGTTTGCTGTGTGTCGCTGCAGCTTAGACCACTTTCAGGGGACACCCATGGGGCTGGGACCACGTCACTGTATATTCCACATGACTGCTCACAGAGTCTGAATGTCGTGTGCAATGCCAAGTGCTTACTTCAGGAAATATCCTTCAGAGACACAATGATCAAAGTTTTATACAGACGGGTGACAACATCATTGCAGGCCACCTCCTCAAGGCAAAAGGCTGTGGCCACGAGGGAAGGCCCTTGGGATATTGACAAGGTTGGCAGGTCAGAGCAATGGGATATGGGGGAAATGCAGCAAACACTTACTAGGTAAACACCTTCTGGGGGTGATCCAGCCTCAAATGACAAGACTACCTCCGCCAGCCACTAAATATCGTTTAAGTAGATGTGAGAAAAGCTCTTGCATCCCAGGAGAAAGCCTCTGATCAGATGGAGCATGTTATCAAGATTTTCCCACGCCTGCCTAGACCCTCTCTATAAGGAAGAAAACAGAGATAGGGACATCCAGGTGCCAGGAAGTACCCTGAAATGACCCATGCCACCTAACACAATTGTTCAGATAAGTTAGGCAAGGGACCTCAAAAATATATTTTCCACAGCTGGGTTTGAAGAAGAAAGTCAAGATTTTCCTTTTCTTCCTTTCCTCATCCCCGTTACTAACTCTAACTGCTAAACTTGTCCCTCCTCCCCTGTCTTCCTCCCATCTCCCTCCTTCTTTCCTGGCTATAAATGCTTGTCTCAGTTCTGAGAGTCCAAACTAGGAGCAGCTGAATGTGGTCAATTAAACAGCACTTCTCTGAAACTCCCCTACAGCTTTGGCTTCTCCAGGAAGGACTGTGTTTGTACTTCTTCCTGCTCTACTATACTGTGTACAGCAGAAATGAGCATTTCATTTTTCTTCTCAGGACTCTGTCATAATGCACTGTGGTCTATCACTTCAATTAAAAATGGGAGAATCAGCTGGTCTTTCCCAGACTTCAGCACCCAGGTTTCGGACGTGAAGAAGCAGCCTGTATGCAATTGGTGCTAAGAGGAAACGTTGTATTTGTTCCTGATGTAGCCCACACTGTGTCATTTGGAAAAGGAACCCCAGACCAGGACTGGCATGACATTATGCATATATCACACCTAGGACCCTCACCACTCCTAAGAGCAGAGAGCATTGTGATAGAAACATTCAAACCTGCAGTTTCTTAGCCTGTCATTCTTCTTGGGGAGGCATTAACCTAAAAAGAATTTCAGGGACCCTGGGGATGTGTTTCCCAGGAATACTTTTAATTTCCTTTGCTGATTCCCAGCAGCACAGCTTCTTGAACTCTTCCACCACCATCTTCAGCTCCTCCCACGTGCTGTCCTGCCCAGGCTTGCATCTCTTTCACCACCGGTGTCTTCCCAATAATCCAACTTGCAGGAGGAGCCCGGGGGTCTGCTGGTCTGTGAGCACACACCCCCCTCTACTGGACAAAACACAAAGAAACATACAGGGCTGGAAAAGGAGCACAGAATTCTCCAACAGAAAGGAACATTAAGTCATGCCCTAACTTTGTACACGAGATATGCCATGAATCAACAGAATCACAGAGAATTGGAGGTGGAGCTACATCTCTCTGCCTCCCCTGTCAAGCGCCACCATCATGCAGAACTACATCCTTCAACAGTTCTACTCACAAGAAGAAAGGAGGACTATGTGACTGAGTTCATGGCAGTCTCTAGGTTCTGAGTTAAAACACTGTCCAAGGCGCAGCCATCTGTGAAAAATCAGGGTATTGGTTAAAAAAGCACTGGGTTGGAGTCAGAGAACCTGGCCTCTAGTCCCACTTCTAGTACCCACAACCTCTGTGAGGCTGGACAAGACCACGTGATGTCTCTGGGTTTCCTTGTTCCAAAGAGAACAGATGATCTCTAATGGGGCTGTCAGAATACGGACAAGATTGTAAATGAGCGGGCAAAAGAGTGCAAACAGGATCACAACCCTGAGGAAAGTGCATTGGCTGGAATACTGGAGACCTTGTCCTAATCCTGGCTCTGGCACCAGTTGGCTACCTACCTTAAGGAGGTTGCTTCATCTCTAGAACTCTGTTAGGAACAGGGATGAAGCTAGATAATCTTCTCAGTAGAACGATTATAGCCTCTCAATCCCTAACTTTCTACAATCATGAGTAATGACAACTGTGAGTACTGATGCTTTCTTCAAAGGATCCTAAAGCCACAGAGGCATGTTCATACATCTTTGGGGCAAAGTAGGGAGCCATTAACCTTTCCAGCTGTTTATAATAACATAATTAACCTTTCCAGTTGTTACTTTTATGTAAAAGTACATATGTCAAATTATCTGCTTGGAGTTCAAAAGAACACAGCCTGTGCAGTGGACAAGATATTAGTCCAAGACCCTACATTAAACCACAAAGCTTTTTTAAGTACAAACACTACAAAACAGCCAGGAAAACACCGCTTTCTATGAAATGATAAGTAGACCTAGTGAATTATCAAATTAGATAATTCCACTAATTTTAAAGGGGGTTATAGGAAGTGACATAAAGTTTAAAAGAAGAGACAAAATAAAATAATAGCAAGGCTGTTTTCAATGGCCTAACGATGGCTCTGGAAGCAGTGGGAAAAAGTCACTGAGCTCACAGTTCCAGCCCATCTCGTCCCAAACCACTCAATAAACAGCAATCTATATAAAAACAGTGCACTTGCCATGCAAATGCAATTTCAAAACAGGTTCTCTAGGTGCACCACCACCCCACCTCGCACCTGGCTGCTGCTCTCCAGGTGTCTGGATTTGCCATGAGCAAGAGGGGAAACAGCAGTGGGCTGGGAGTACTTCATAACCAACTGTGGGACAGTCAGCCACAAGGTCAAGTGTAAGGGCACTGAAAGGTAAAAGAAAACTATGACCCTGGAGGAGTTGCTTCACCTTTCACTCATTTA